AGGGGAGAGCACCACCTCCCTTGGGAGCCCGTTCCAGACCTTGGCCACTCTAACTGTGAAGAAGTTCTTCCTAATGTCCAATCTAAATCTGCTCTCTGCTAGCTTGTGGCCATTATTTCTTGTAACCCCTGGGGGCGCCTCGGTGAATAAAACCTTACCAATTCCCTTCTGTGCCCCCGTGATGAACTTATAGGCAGCCACAAGGTCGCCTCTCAATCTGTGCCAACCCAGAGCTGTTTTTTGTGGTCAGGACAACAAAGAATTTTGGCTGCTTATGTAAAGTTTCCGTGAAGGACAAAAGGGAAAGTGACTTGTGCCCCTCTCCTCCAACACAGGCCCAAGAACTATCCAGCACTTACTCTGACTCATAGTTAAAAATCTTGGGCCCAAAAGCAGCTTGTGTATTCCCACAAGCTGGGAATACAGATATTTACTTACTCATCTAAAAGGAACACATTCCCTCTGGAAAAGCGGTTTTGTGTCTTTGTCTGTAACATGCCAGAAGCCCTAGTGCAGTGTTGATATTCTTGTGCTCCATCACTGGTGGTGCTGATAGAAGTGACATTTGTCACATGATTGGCCCCTTGAAAGCATTCAACAGCCATGCTCTGACAGAAGTGCATGGCTGCAGAGTGCTGTAGAAGCACTCAATTGTGCGACAAACTAACCATGTACTGAGGGTTCAGATGAAGATGCTTCAAAGCGGAGCACCTTCATTAACTTCTGTCTGTCCCTGCATGTGATTGGAGCTGGGCTAATGCAGCTCAGCCATGCCCCTGGTGCTGTCTGCAAGAAAGAAGGGGAGAAGGGAGGGGAGGCAGCTCCAGGCTGGGCAAACCCTAGCCCAGAGCTCCCTCCCCCTCTTTTCTCCCCCTTCCCATCCTGCAGACAGCACCAGGGCTAGGAGGGGGGCGGCAGGGCTAGGGGAGAGAGGCTGCAGACAGGCAGCTCCTCCTGGATTGGCTCCGAAGTGGAACTCAATCCCCAACCCCCTTGACCCAATAGCAAATGCCTGTTGGGTCAGGGGTGGGCAGGGGTCACTCTAACTCATGGCACTTGCTGTGAGGCATCATGAATAGAGCAGGGAGCTGCACATCTGTCAGCTCCCTGGGCTACAAACATGTGTGACCAGCACTGGAAGGATCACCCGTTATACAGGAATCCTCCAATTGTTTTGAATTGAGGCTTCAAGTGGTTCTAAACCTATTACAGATGACCAACTTTCTAAACAGGCTCTCCAAGAGCAGACAAGCATTTCACCTCCCGTAACCTGCTCAGAATTGGCCAAAGTGTTGGAAACAAATGGTTAAATATGATCCCTTGGGCAATCCAGAAAATATAGCTGACTTGCTTTATGAACTCCCTACTCAGCATATTTTATGCTCCTCCATTTAAATTATATGATTTCTTCTTTCATTTGCCCTGCTATCAGCATTGTTTGGAGTGTGGCTATGACAGATTTTCAAGGCCAAATATGCTGAGATATTAGAAAACTTTCTGTTATTATATTTCTCCTTTTTTAGAGGCATCTTAGAAATAGATGTGAAATGAGCTATTTGCTCACATTTAGTGCTGACTTATACTCTATGCAATTCCATTACCTTTATTAGGATTGTCTGGGCTGTAAGTCAATGTTGAATCTGGCCTGCTGTGCTTAATACTTTCAAGTAATGTGATCATGTGTGTATAGCTTCTGCACACATATACTAAAGAACTAGTTTTTTTCTTGGTAGTGCCTGCCCCTCCCTTTTTGGCTTTACTGATATGTTGATGTCCAACTGAATGAACTAGATTTAGATTTGACCATTTAGCATGGAAAGAGTTGTAGAAAGCTAAGACAAGGATGGCAATACCCATTTCACGAAAGAATAAAGCCAAGTGCCATTTGCTGGTTTCCACCAGCTTTAAAAGTAACCTGCACAGATAACTGGTTATTGGGTCTAAAAGTGAATTGAGTTAGGGTTATTTTTCTGCATTCGTCCTTGTAGGTCCCTTACCCCAACAGCTCTGTCAGCTCTGAGCCCTAAATGGTGACAGACAGTGTCAGCAATGTCCGGCTGAATCAGTCCCTGTTTACAAAGAGTTTCCAAATTTAAAGTTGATGTGGAATATCTGTTTTCTTTGTGAACATGTGGGTATTCTTTAACGCTTCTTGGCTCAGTCTAGTCCATGAACACAGTTTCTTGGCTTGTAGGAAAGGCTATGCTTGGGATTTAGGGGAAAGTTCACTTAGAAGCAGAGCAAGAGCTTATGAGGTGAGAGTTGAGACCCAGTAATATCCTCTGCAAGCATGGTTTGGATAGGCCTCTGAGCAACATGATGATGGAGGTAATAAATTTAGAAGTCATTGGCCAGAACTCTGGATTTTATTACTCTTAGTAGTATCACAAGGCTACAGCTAAGGCCACCCCAAATCATCCATCTAAGCACACCAAACTCTGAGAGCCAGGAGAGGACTAGAACTCCAACCCAGACCTAAATTTTACAGCATGTCTTGATCTCTGTAAGAGCTAAGAGAATATTTCCACATCTCTATAGCACTTGTGGGATTTACAGACCAAGTGTGAATTTTTCAGTCTGTCATTCAGAAGAAAGCCGGGACTACCACATATTATCTAAACTTGTACACAATGCCTCATCAGCTCTTTAATTGCTCTTTTAATGCTAATATTAAGTGGAAGCAGCAACACAGGAAAGAAAAGCAGGGTAACATGGTCAGCTCCTTGACTTACATGCCCCTCCTTTCTACTCTGGCTATCTGATGACCAAACTGCTTGCAGCGCTAGTGATTGTTCACCCGTAAACCATCCCTGCTAGAGTGAAAGCAAATATTTTCCATTACTGTCTCACTGGAGTCTGCACGTCTGTTTGCTGCTCCCATGGGGGTCAGATGTTCAGCATTTGGCTATTTCATCCAGTGGTTTTAATTTTTGTCCCCCACATTGGATTGCAGAAAATTTCAGCCAAAATAATGACTGCAAGCTCTTTCTGGCTCATTCATTTATCATGAAAATTAAGACAAACAGTAAAGACAGGGCCAGATTCACTGCTTGTGCATGTAGAGGAAGCTGAACAGAGGTCAACAGACTTAAACCAGAAGTGAACAGGACTTAAACAGACCTCTGCTAAAGTAGGAACAAATTATACAGATGCGTCCATTTTTCTTTGTTGATATGTACCTGGTGCGAGGAGATAACATTTAACTGATACGGTTGATTCTCATTTTAGAAGACATGTATGAACGAACCTTGATGGTGGATGGTGAAAGTGCGACCGTTATACTGCTTGACATGTGGGAAAATAAGGTAGGTCATAACTTCTGTCCTATTCAAGTGCTAGAGGGAAATAAAGTATGACTGAGTTGTAATTATAGATGTGCTAGGAACAAACACATATTGAACAAGTAAGCTTGTCTGACCCAAAATTTGATAGTAATTGAAGTTATAGGAAATCTTTAAAAATCTGAAGTTTGTACATGTGAGTTTGAGTGGCATGGAAATTCTTTTTTCTGGTTTTTTTTAATTAAAAACTAAAAAAGCCTGAAACACATTTAGAGACAAATTCAGTCCAGCCATGCACACAATGAAGTCTGCTCACCAAACTGGCCCTGTTAACCATATGATCACCACTGAGAACAGTAGTAATCTCTGGTTTTACATTGTTGTAACTGTATGTGTCTATACAAGACACTACTGCACAGTTGTTACTGCATTTATTTAGTACTTGTATTAGCAAGTACTAAATAAATGCACAGTAACTCCAGTTACTGCACAGTAGTGCCAGAAAATGTCTTCTAAGTGATGTTAGTGTACAGTAGCCTAATAATACTGCACAGTAGTGTATTAACACTGTCTATGCTGTGATGCACTACTGTGCAGTATTATTCAGTGCTGTGATGTGCTACTGCACAGAGTCTTGTGTAGATGTGCCCACTGTAATCAAAACCTTACCCAGCAAAGCTACAATGTGAATGTATTTGGAATCGTTAATAGATTTTCTTTGTAAAAGCTGAGCTGGGCAAGAAAGCCAAACCTTACTAATGATAGCATAACTGTCTTATTTTATCAGCGTGAAAGTGAATGGATCCAAGATCATTGCATGCAAGTAGGAGATGCATACTTGATTGTCTACTCCATCACAGACCGAGCAAGCTTTGAGAAAGCCTCTGAACTCAGAATACAGCTCCGCACAGCACGCCAGACAGAAGATATTCCTATTATTTTAGTGGGCAACAAAAGTGACCTTGTCAGGTGCCGTGAAGTCTCTGTGGCAGGTATGGAAAATTATGGTGACAACCACTCTGTAAACATGGATCTTGACCTACTGACAGGGTTCCCACTAATGAGCACTCAGTAAAATACTCTATGAAGTGGGTGGAATGGATCAGCAGCAAAAGCCAAACAAATGATTCACCTCATGCCCTGAAAACCCAGTTTAAGGCCCTGACTCAGTTCCTATGAATGTGACTGGAAAGGATGTAATTCATCTTAATAGGAGCTGGATCAGGTATTTAGTCAGCTAGATGTTTGTCTGGAGAGTTATCCCTGAATGAGATGCCAGTGTTTGCAACAGTACAGTAAAATAGTTCCCCCTAACCAGAAATTAAGGAGAAAAATTACCCACCTTGGGGTTCAATCCATTCCCATGACTACTTACTATAGAGCTTGACCTTGCCTGAGGTATTCTCCCTCTTCCAGCTCTTCAGCACTACCTCCACTATGCCCCTACTTGAGGGTAAAAAGAGCTGATCTGGAGTGAATACTGTGTTCGCTGAGGTCTGCATCACAGTTCTTCTAAGGGGAAATGCTCAGAAATATCTTCCTATGTTTCCTGTTTTCATTCCATCATTCCTTGCAGTCTGGGTGGCTAATTGCCATTTGACTATACAGACAGCATCCCCCGAGACTTCCAGCTGATGTGTTCAGAGGGAAAAGGAGTGACAGCAATTTGGTATCTGTATAAAAAGAAGATTGTTATATTCAGTTCAGGCTCAAATATACAAAAACAATGGTCACAATGTTAGAGAGACTTCTGAAATCCCAGGCATAGTTTTGCATATATCTAAGGTTCAACTCTCCACACCAGAGGTTTTGCTATTCAAAACTTTGATTTGTGTATGTGATCTCTGGGCCATTCCTACCCATACAAAGTTTATTGCAAGTTTTGTCACTGATTTCAGTTCCAGAAGGATCAAGCCCTGTATTTGCAGCCACAAATCAGGCATTTAAGACCATAACCCCCTAAGTGTGCACGTCAGAGCTTTGGCACATACAAGGTTGTTTCAGTAAAGATAGAAGCTTCATTTTGGAATTATGGCTGTAAATGGAACAAGTAATTTCTTGCGCTCAATAATCACTATCTTATTGCCTCAGAATATGACTCACTAAAATTTACAGTACAAATGGATCCATTAAGATGATTTACAGAGAGGACATACACTGTACTGTACATTGTACTGTTCAGCAGTTTTGCCTTTTCCCCTTTTGCTTAAAGAATGTGCAAATACCAAATGCTAATCCAATGACAAATCTGCTTTGTGATTTTGCAGAGGGTCGTGCTTGCGCTGTTGTGTTTGACTGTAAGTTCATTGAGACTTCTGCTGCCGTCCAGCACAATGTGAAAGAGCTGTTTGAAGGGATTGTGCGACAAGTCCGGCTACGGAGGGACAGCAAGGAAAAGAATGAGAGGAGGCTGGCCTACCAGAAACGGAGAGAGAGCATTCCCAAGAAAGCCAGGCGGTTCTGGGGCAAAATAGTGGCCAAGAACAACAAGAATATGGCCTTCAAACTGAAATCTAAGTCATGTCATGACCTGTCAGTACTTTAGGAAAGTTGGACAATATCAGATGTTCTCTTTTATGGACATTATTTAACCATATTGTGAACAATAATCAATCTATATTAGATTGGATTATGAGGCAAAAATTGACTTGGATTCACAGTTGTGATTGTGATGAAATGTGATGGCTACAAGCACACCATAATGCATGGAAAAGTCTTTCTTATCTTTTTATTGGTAGTTTAAAAAGAGAAAAAAAACTTTGTCATATACCAGGACACCCCACTCTTAATACTTGGGGAGTATTTGGGAATGTACTTTTTGTTTTTCCTTTACCTTTGGATTATAGCATAAGAATCTAAAATCATTGTGATTTGGGGAACAAATTCTTCTTATTTTTTTAAATGTACAGAAATGAGGAATGGTTTGGGAAATGATTTTTTACCAACTAATTCATCTCATTTTCTTAAGTACCTACAGCTGAAAATCTGCATTTCTGTAGAATAGCCACCACAACACTTTCTTGTTTCCAGAGTAGTATCCATGAACATATACATCTCTAACTTTTAATGGAAAAATGCTTCTAATCAAAGAGTTTTCCTTTATGATTTTCATACTATGGGATTGTTAATAGAAAACGTCAGATTAAAAATAGCATCAAGTGCAAGATGCCAAAACATTTTAAAATCACTTGAGCTTTTATAAGAAAGCATGTAGACTTTTTGTACCCAGATTTGGCCTTTGTGTATGCCAGATGTATGCTGTATTTATTATCTTGCAAGATAACAGGCATTTTTTAATATTGGGGAAAATGTATTTATTATCAAGTTTCTTAACAAAATAGGAAATTTTATTACTGTTTTCTATCTAATATCTTTTTCAGATAATGCAAGTTTTTACTTACATGCCTTGTAATAAAATAAATAAAAGATGCCCCTGCTTTTGGGCCTCATCAAGAAATCCCCAAAATGTCTTTTTACAGTTCAAGAAAAGATTTTGTTTGTTTGGAAAGCTTATGAAGTGTGAGTGTACAATGAAGTTATTGGAATATGGAGTAGTCAACAAAGTAAAGACTACTGAGGCTATTAATACACATTATTCCTTGTACCCAAAGTGGTAGTGTAGTGATAAAGACAATGACAACAGTTAATTTATGTGCATCTTAATTCTGTGCATTTTGTTCACAAGCTCAAAACATTTTACTGTAGAAAGTAAACATTGTTATCCCTATTGTGGAGATCTCTTAAGTTAGTTTCCAAACTGATAGCCAGATTCATAGCTCAGGTACTAAGCTCAGGTGATAGGTGTTATATAATTACTGCAGTAGATGGATGTGAATCCCACATCCTGTATTCTCCAAGATATGTTCACTAGAGGCTTGATCCACCACCTCTGCTGACAGCTTTGATAGAAGAAATGTTGCTAGGTTTAGGCAGACTGTATGGGTAGAATCCTGTTTCATCTAGAGGACAACCACAGTACAATTTGACACTAACTCTATATAACCCGACTATTGTATAGAAATGATTCTATGGCTATGAGCATAATACACCTCACTGTAGGATGACCAATGTCATTGTAGGATGACATATGTGATGTTCATATGTCTTGTGGAATAAATATTCCCATAGGTTGCCTTCAGTATTATAATTCAGTATTTACAACAGAGTAGAGGCAAGAATGCTGTCACTATCAATCTATGAGTGTACCAGAAAGAGGTCAATTTAAATAAACACATATTTTTGATTGGCCTGTATAAAATTTTGGATTTTGTCTGTCTAAAGCAGTTCAAACAGCATATTCATCACAACATCATTGTTCAGAGCTGCTGAACTAACAGAAGGTTGCCCCATTCCAGATTAGTACAGGAAATGTCAGGAATAAGTGGAGAGCTTTTTCCTCCCATCACATCAGTTTCATTGAATTAATTTTCTCAGCATGTTAGAGGTACGGTGCTTTTTCCTGGTCCATGTCAGCCAAATTAGGGAACTTTGTAGCTCCAAATCCATGTCAAACATGTGGACTTTGGATCAGCCTCCTCACTCACCTGTGAACTCAGTGATGACTTCCTTATTTACTGGAAGCTTGTCATCCTCCTATCGAGGGATAGCTGACTATGATAGCTCCAAATCAAGCCATCTTGGAAGAGATACAGTCCTTAGGATCCTTAGTAACCCATACAAGGAGCCGATTTAGGTTAGTCTGGTCTATCAAACTTCTGTACCAGATACACTCCCGACTCAAGTTAGGTCACTGTCCTCTAGCTTCCCAGGTGCCTTCACAGCCCCCTGCCTGCTCTGTGTCTCACATGAAGGCACCCTGGAACTCAGCTCGTGCTTGACCTTCCTAGCTATCCTCAGGCTCATCTACTACCCTTTACTTGACCCATGAGAGTGATTATCCTTGATCGTGAGGGATTTCTGACAACGAGGATGACAAGGTGGGGGGGATGCTCTTCAGAAGGAAGGATCAAGCCCTCAGAGTGCTGGCAAATAGCAGGTGGTGCCAACAAGGCAAGGTAGGCAGAACAAGCAAGCGGTGATTATTGGCTGTTATGCCCTGTGTGTGTGGAGCAATGATGTGGCGGGGTGGGGAGCACAGCTGCAGCTGCCACCTCCCCGTGACACTGCTGCTGGTGCTGATCCTCTGTGGGGAGGAGGGGGCATGGGGCTTCTGCAACAAGGAGGAGCACCGCTGTAATGTGATCGGTGTAATGTGTACATCACCGTGTACGTGTGTCCAGCCCAGCCCTGAGCAATTATGCCCTGCGCCCCTGCCCTCCCCATCCCTGATCTGCACCAGATCCAGAAAGGAAAGGTGCTCCCAGCTCCTATTGTGGCTCTCAGGAGATGCCTGTGCCCAACCTCCTCCTGCCAGCACTTGGCAGATGGGTTTCCCCATCTGGATCCCAGCCCCCATGCATCCCCAGCTTGGCCTGCATCCCTCACTTGTCTTGTGAACTCTCCACTGGACTCTTGGCTGCTCACTCCTTCCTTCCCTTCCTCCCTTACTTGGCTTTGGGCTGTGGAGCTGCCCCCCAGTGATTCCCCAGAATCTAAATGCATTGGCAGCTCCTGGACAGCACAGCCTGAGCAAGGCAGAGATGCTCAGTGGTCCCTGTTCACTGTTGCCTTCAACTCTGAAACTGCAGATAAGAAATGAGGTTACCAGAGCATTGGATTCACCATGAGGAGCAGCTGCTGCCAGGCCCAAGCAGCACACACAAGGAGCCCCTTTCCCTCTTCTCCCCCTTCCTCTTCTCTATCCCCAGAGCCCAGCATGCAGTGGCAACCCGCCTCTGCTCTAGGCACAGGTCCAAGGGGCATGTGCCCCCTGGGCCCCCTCTGGGGTGCACACAGCAGTGGGAGCCTCCCCACACCAACCACCATGCCCCTGGATGAGCCTCCCAGGCTTCCAGCATCTCATAGCCTGCCCCAGCTCCAGGGACCCATTCACCCCAGACCCTGCCCCTGCCCCTACCTCTGCTCCACTCCCTTCCTCAACACAGGGCCCTTGATCTGCACCCCCATGACAGACTAACCTGCTGTGCTGGAGCCTGCATGCTGCCAGGTTGCTGCAGGCTCCAGCTGCATGTCTGTGCATGCCCCTCCCCCACCCTGCTGCAGCCATCCAGAGCCTGCACCTGGGCTGCTCTGTGGCCCTGCCTGCTGCTACTGCTGGCCCACGTTTGGGAGGCTAAGTCCCGTTCTCCCTGGCCTTCCACCGCCTATGCTTCCAGCCCTGCTTTTCTGTGTTTCTCTGTCATTTCTGTGGCTGAAAGAGCAGTGAGGGGGAGGGTAGAGGGGAGGAGGGGTGCTCCCCCATGTCTGGCAGCCAATCAGGGGTCGGCTGCCCCTTCGGCTGCGCTCAGGAGTCTCCAGCAGCCTGGGGAGCCAGTGGCATGTGCTGGGAGGCATGCGAGAATGCTTTCAACCTGCTGCCCTTGGCCAATGCAGGCAGCATGCATGCCCTGCCCCACTGAAGGGTGAACATCTGTTCTGTTCGTTAGTGATATAACCTAGGGCACTTAGGGTAAGGCAGGAAACTTAAATCGCTTCCACCTTGGGATATTAGAATGCCTGTACCTAGCCTTATATCGACCTAATTAGGGTTAGGTCCATCTAAGTGCTGATCTATACATAGGTTCTGGAAGGTTAGATTGGGTAAAATATGGCCAGCCTGATCTAACTTTAGTTCACCTAGGTGGTAAACTATGTAGACAGTGCTGATTCATGCCCAATATGACCCAAGTAAGTTCAGAGCAAAGCCCCCAGGGCTGGAAAGCCCAGCCACTTGCCCCAGCACCAGCACCAGGGCTTCCCTTTTCCTATCCCACCCCCAACCCTCTCCAGGCTATTTGTAGCCTCCCCATCTCTCCCATCCCCAGATGGACAACTGCCCCTGTGGATCCACCAACCCCCATCCCAGTGGGCCCATTAGCCCCTCCTCTGCAGACTTGCTAACCTCCCCAGGCCCACTAACCCCCCTGCAGACCCACTAACCTCCTCACCACCCCCCACCTTGACTTACTTAGATAGCATTCCCAGGGAAGCACTGGCAAACATGGGCACATATGGGACTTGATCTACAAAAATGATCTGTGTGATTGTAGATCAGGTCCAGGGAATGCCTGCGCACACATTTGGAGCACAGCCCCAGGGTTGGAACAGCCCAGCAGCTCACCTCAGCCCCAGGCCCATGGCTGTGCTTTTCCTACCTCCCACATTGACTGGGCTATCTTTAGCTCTCTGACCTCCCCCACTTCCCCCACACATACTGAATGGGGACCCCATCCCTTTGACCTGCCCGCTTTTGGACTGCTAGCCCCCCTGCTTCTAAGTGAAGGCTGTCTCTGTGTGTGGCTGGATATTTTCACATACAGTTATGAGTTCAAGGTCACTTAAAAAAACTGGCCTTATATTCAGTCAAAATAAGCTATTTTCCTAAAAGATCTTTTAATATAAGATAAAGAATCTCAGTTCAAAGTGTCAATGATAAAGACAGGAAGGATGCGATTAAACTGTTTTAGAGTCTGATTCAGTACATAAGAAAGATCTTAGGAATTCATAAGCTGAAGGACAAGACACTCCACCACCAAAAGAAATTCTGGGACCAGGTTTGGTGAAAGAACAGTTACATGTAGGACAAGTAGAGAACACAGAGAAAAAGTTGGAGCCCTTCTGGGACCTGATCAGTCAGCTCATTGTTTGCTAGCTAAAAAAACACAGACACAGATGAACAAAGTCATCAGGGAAGGAAACAAATGCAGAGTATGAAGCACTCAAATTTGCCTGTTTGGAGAGAAGCGTCTAAAGAGTGGGCCACAGTTTTATTTTGACATTCATAAGAGAAATCTGAGACACAATTGCACCTGATTATCATCAGGTTAAATGATACAGAAACATTCATTATTCATAACAGCTGGCAGGTAAATAACTACATTTAATTGGTACGTTAAATACTGGGTAAATATTGACACGTCAGACTCTTAATACCTAACTAGCCTGCTGTGTGTTCATTTCAGATATGATTTTCAAGAGACATGTAAAATAACAGACCAATGTAAGGGTCCTGTAAAGCTATCTGGAAACATGCAACTCAATAGAAGAACCACACAGAAGTAATTAAACCAAGCAACAAAGGAACCCGAGAGCAAAAGCAGAAAAAAGTGTCTAGAAATCAACCAAGGAAGCATCAGTGACTCAGAGTGCTACACTGACAATATATGAAGTCAGAGCTACAGCAATAGATGTTAGCGAGATAGCTGCAGTGTCATCCTCGGAGGTCTGGCAATAACTGTGGAATCCATGACTCACAGAACAGACGGATCCAAGGCAACAATGAAGAAGTTCATGGAGCCTGGGTGGAATAAAATAAACGTAGCAGCACAACAACATAATCTATAAACATGTAAAATGACTAATTCTTATTAAAATAGTGCTTAAAAATACAGACCAGAGCAGTAACACAAATGCAGGGGCA